CCCCTCTCTCTCAAAGCTATTTTTCATTAAGGAGAGATTCATTGTTGTCAAGCTCTTCATCCTCCTCTACCACATCCACTCCCTCTCTTGATGCCTCTCCCATACATCCTCTTCCTGACGAATCGTGCATGAAAAGGTCGAGTTCCAAAATCACGAAAAAGAGGGTTCGTTCAAAAAGTAATTACAGTCATAAACCAAGGAAAGGATTCACCAAAGTAGATCACACTACGTGGCAATTTCATTCCTACGAGAAGGGAAAAATTGTTTCCAGTGATCTCGTCTTTCTTTCATTCACTCCCACTTCCAATACAATCAGTTTCAAATAAATTCAAAAAATACAATTCAAAAAAATAAGCGCCAAACGAAAATGAGAAGCTCGGTTTCAATGCAGCACACCAGCGACGAGGAACTACTTTGTGCTTCGTTGATGAGGAATAGCAGAGAAATTAAGGCCTTCTTCAACAGTAAGTTGATGTATTTAGTCAGGGATGCTCAAGTAGGTGGTTACAGCTTTTTCGGAACGAAATTGGATGAAGCTTTTACAGTACCTTGCCCTAATCGGAATAAGAAGCGTCCAACAAAAACTGGGAGCCTATTCCTCTTTGGAAGGAATTAAAGAGCTCATGGGTATGTAACGATCATTGTGTTTCACTATTGATCCAACATTATTTTAGATAACCTTGCACCAGGCACCACCCAACATCCAAACCCCTCTCTAATCCATCATAATAATAGTCAAGAGCAGCTATTTACTCCTCCTCCCAACCAGCAACATTTATCCACCCCTGAAAAAAAAAGTACCTCTCATGAAGATATGACCAACGAAGAAGATTCGAGATATAAACCATCATCAAGTTGGAGAAAAGGGGATAGGCAAGGTATTCAATTATCTTCAGGAAATGAAGATCAGTTTGATCCTTACTTGCCTGATAAGCATAACAACATTCAAGCCTCACCAATGAAAAAATCCAACAACAATTATTTAAATCATCCAGCTCAACATGCAAACTATTTACCAACCCCATCCTCACCTTTTTTCGATGAGACTCGATTTAATGTTCCCAGTAGGCTGAATGGAAATGTACATCAAAACTTTTTCAATACTCCCATTCCTCACGTGCATGATTACTTTAGCCCTTACCAAAATTCAAATCCATATCAATCTTATCCACTTATACCTCCAACCACCTATATTCACTACCCTTCATATCCGTCACATCCCCTTAATACTCCTACAATTGTGCATCACGTAGCTCCGCAACAACCACAACGCATTGAATTCCAAAATCATCAAACAAACCACCAAACAAATCAACAAACAAATCAACAGCAGGTTGAACATGCGCATTTACCTGAGCAAAAGCCTAGTAAGAGAGCAGATCTAATAGTGATACAAAAGGAGGAAATCTCTCCTGCTGAAACGGAGGACTCAGAAGGGCCTCCAAAAGCTGTAGCTTGGTCTGCAGGCTTGGGAGGAAATGTTAAGAAAAAGAAATCAGAAACTCCAAAGAAAGAAATCAAAAAACCTCCAGTTAAAAAGCTGCATCGTCATGCTTCCGTTCCTCCAAAATTTGGGTGAGTATTTTGAAGATTCTCTGATTGTTGACATCTTTCATGACTTTAACAGGGTACCTTATGACATTAATAAGGTGGAATCAAAAATCAAAGGTCAAATAATGATGGACAAAAAAACAAATCAACATGCAATGCATGAACCAGTGCTTGTGACATCCAAAAAAGAAATGATTGAAAAATTGCCAACGGAAGGACACTCTTCAGACCCTATCAGACAGGAAATTGCAGAAAATGAACCGAAACAAAACGTACAAGCCACCTCGAACAAACCCCCGCTCTCTCAACCTCAACAAGTCCAACCAACTGCCCAAGCATCTCACAGTTTAAAACAGCAAGACGTAAGCAAACAACCAACAAGAAAGGTACCTTCAAAGCGACTTGAAGAAATTCTTTATCAGAGAAAGAAAGTTGATTCTCCTAGAACAGAGAAAGGTGAGTGTATCATTTTGCGTTGATTTTCAATTTTCAACATACTTTAAATAGAATCTGTATTGTCGATAGTAGAAAAATTCATGAATGATCCTTATTTGAAAGACTTCTATTAACGAACTAGTGCTTGGATGCGCTTGTAGTCATCAAAATAAACTCTCTTTCAATACCATCGTTGCCTTTTTTTGAAGTGGTAACATTTCTGGAAAACTCTTCGTCCACAAAATGAGCCTCTTTCAACCATTGACTAATTTCATTTGAAGAGAAGCCGCCCTTATATGGAACCTCATGTGTCATGTGTTTACAATGAAATTTATCACTATGTTCTTGATCCTTGTCGAGGTCAGTAAAGATCAAAACACCACCTGGAGCAAGGTAACTTGCTAAAAGTTTCATCTTTTCTGGAACGTTTTCCAAGTGATGAAACACCATACCTGAAATAATCACATTACATTTACCCTTATTTTCCACAATGGGATGGTTCACAGTTTCAGCTAAAGCCAAGTCAATGACATGCGAAATTATTTTGTCATCACCTTCCAGCAAACCTTCTTGAATAAGTTTTGACTTCTTTTCCTTTAATTGCGAAATCATTCCTTCACTCATATCCACCGCGTCAATTCTTTTGATGTATTCTTTGAATTCATTCAAAAACAAAAGAGAGAGTGTACCAGTGCCACAACCAAAATCCATAATCAACAAGTCCTGTTTTTGATTCATCTTCTCCAAGACTCCTCGAAAAACATCACGAATGCCATGTGCTACTCGTCGTGAAAATTCAGCCTTTGATGGATTGGTGTCCCAATTCAAAGCCATCTGATCGAATGTTTTTGAATTCAATTCAGCAACAGATAGATCGTTTCCGTGATGATGATGATTATGGTGAGAATGGGGACATTGGGAGTGCTCTTCGGATGTAAGATTGTGTGTACAATGAGAGGACATTTTTATGATGATGATTGTTTTTCAGAGTCGAGGATTATGTGAACAGTGTCCTCCCAACCTTGAAGAAGATCAGGAATTATTATGGAATCACTCGGATAAACATGTTCTTATTGATGAAGTGAGACTCTTGCATTGAACATCTCCACCAAGTAATTCATTGAAAAAATGTCTTCAGTGATTGACTATCGAGGACAAGCCCTAGCTGAAACCATCTATCGGTACACTCTTTTTACATCGGCTGTAATGTATCTTGTTGAGTAGCAAATTTGAAATAGTCATCTCTGTTCCGATTAAACGAACTAATTTTGAAATATCAATTTATTCAACTAATATGTTATGTTAATATTAATTAATTGGAATGAATAATGAAATATTAATTGGATCATTCAGATTGTTGGATTTATTGTTGGATTTTACTTCCAGAAATTTTCATTCGGTTTTTATATTTTTGCTATCGGAACGTTACTGGCTTTGATTCTTACGGTTCCTTCATGGCCTTTCTATCGAAAACATCCAGTGGTGTGGCGAACTGACGTGCCAAATGATTTATCAGAAGAGGAAGAACAAGGCAAGAAAGTTAAAGCTATTTAATACAGCACCTATTTAATGAGAGTTATTGTTTAAATGTTTTAATTATTTGAAATTTCAACAGTCTCACCATTTGACACGATGATCGAAATATCATTAAACTTATCAAAGTGATATATGAGATTTTGTTGCATTTCATGAGATCTCCTTTTCCAATTTTTGAATATTTGAATTCGTAAAGTTCCAATTTCACAAACGATTAATTCTTGTAATTGATAACTGATACAAATTCCAAGAGGTTTCATATACATGGAGTCATCATCTCGACTCTTAAAAGTCTTCAAACAATGTCCAAAACGGTCAAAAATTTGAATACGATTATTTCCAGTATCTGAAACTACGAATTGTGCTTGTTTCTTGTCGTACACCACTCCCTTTGGAGAGGACAAGCAACCCTTAGAATCTCCAAAACTTCCAAATTTAAACAACATGGAACCAGTCAGCTTGGAAATTCCTTGAATACGATGATTGTATGTGTCACATACAATCAAGTTGTCATTTTCATCGAGTGCCAAATCATCAATGTGGAAATGAGAACTCACAATCCCCTTTTCCAGATTTACCTAAATATCTAAGAATTTTCCCATCCATGTTTGATAATACACAAATTCTATTTCTATCACAAACATAAATTTCATCTTTCCCGATACATAATCCATTAGGTTTGGTTAATTCTGTGGACCATATTGTAGTACCTTTCTTACATTTTTTGTTAGTAAATCTAATGTATAGATATATCCTTCGGAAACATCTGAAAAATATAATTCATTGTCTTTTTCATTAATTCGCACTTGCCAAGGCTCAAATAACATCATGGATTTCTTTTCATCATCAGCTATAGAAATTTGATTTAAAACTCTCCTTGTTGCCTGAACAAGATCATCCGATGGAAATAAAGCATCAATGACTTGCGATGTTGCAATGTACTCATCAATAATGGGTAGCATGAACATTTTTTAAATCAATTCCAGTTTGAAGAAGGCTTAGAATTTCTAGAAGTGGTTTTCATTGAACAATCACCTCATTTTCAGGGTTTACTTTGTGAGCTGAATAACGAGCACAACATGCACATGAGATCATTTACAGACCTGACAGCATTGGTGATTTTGATCAAAAGAATAACTCAGGTTCATTTGAATCTCCACAATGTGTGTGTTCTTGAGACATATGTGTGTTATGTGGGGTGTGCCAGCGAATGCAATCAGACTTTTACCGTGTGTTTCATACTGTCGGAATGAAAAAAAAAAATGTCCGAACCACACCAACACGCGCTGAATCCCTCTTCGATGAGGCCAATGGTTCATTCTCCGTCTTCTCACAACAAGCATACTTATGAAAGAAAAAAAA